GGGGAGCGGGAGGCTGGACAGGCGAGCGTGGGGCGGCTCCCCCAGCCAGGAGAGGGCCGTGAGGAGGGAGGTAAGGGCTGCTTTCCATCAGCTGAGGCGAGGGGAGGTGAGGGACAGGGCTGTGGCCATGGCTGGCCAAGTGGGGCGCCTCCCGCCTCTCCCTACCACAGGAGGAAGAAGCATGGCGGCTGCTCAACAGTGGCAGTGGCTTGCCTTGAGAAGGCCACAGTGGAGGTGCGGGAGCTGTGGCCCCGCTCCCGCTCTGCCTCAACCCATCTGTCCTAGGGCTCAACGAGGTGGCTGTGGCTTGGCTCGCAGCCCAGGGAGTGGCTCATACAGTTAAAAATACATTTTAAAGTTATACTTTTCTTACCTTCTATCTTTTTTTAGTGTCTTCATCCCTCCCTCTCTCTTGCCACCACCCTCCTCTTCTGTATTCCCACTCCATATTCCTGCTCTGTATTCAGAGCCAACACATGTGTGCAACAGGGTGAAGAGCCAGCACATGTGCAGTTAAAGCAAGCTGTTACAATTTGGCACGTGCACCGGCTCTCTGCTAGTCTCTGAAACTGCAAGAGTTTCAGAGAACGCCTGTGCCGGGTCAAAGCTTTTGGACTCGTTCAGTGATTACTTTCTGTGAACAAGTCCGAAAGCTCTGAGGTGGGCCATATCTGACCTGCAGGCCGTAGTTTGAGGACCCATGGCGTAAATGCTCAAAAGTGGACCAGAAGAGAGAATAGGAGAAGACAAGAGCAAGAGGAAAGAAAAGGAAGCTATGTGCTACGAATTGTGAAAGCAGATGCTGGAGTCTTACATCAAGAGATTATGCTGAGGGCCTGTTCTGATGGAACAACATTATTAATTCTGATTTCCAGTTGTCTGTGAGACCATCATACATAGTTGTCACTGCACATAGGGTTTGGTTTTCAGCACATCACTGAAAACAACCTGAAATGAGTTCTAGCAGTCAAGTTCCCAAAGCCACTCCTAACATATTGTGAATGGGGAATATGTATGTGTGACTTGCCAAGCAGAGGTATGGTAAAAGGAGTCAACTCAGGTTGGCTTTTTCTTGTGATCAACACCATTCATTGGGCAATATCTAATGGGGGTCATTTGACAAACTTTAATAGCACTAGCAGAGCTCTGCTGAATCTTTTTGTCATGCAGGCAGGTGTGCATTACAATCTAGCTTCAGTTGGATGAATCTCTTGCACATATTTTGGAACCTCGGCACTGCTGGATCCTGCCCCTTCATACAGTTGCAAGAGCAGGCCCATGGTGGTTCCCTGGCTAGAAATAACAGCCCTTCAGAGGAATCCGGAGGCACAGAACTCAGGTAGGAAGCAAGAGACAACATATCCCTGGCATAGTTTAGCCAGGAGAGCTCCTCTGCTCCACATCTTTGCCTGGGCAAATCATATGAAAACAGGAGAGCTAGAGAACAACCTTGTGGGTACACGTCTGCAGAATGATGTCTCACCCAACTCTGACAGGCACTGAGCTGAGAAAGACGCCTGCTTCTCAGCAATGCTGGGTAAAGGACCGAGGGGCTGAGCCGGCGCAAACAGCTTCCTTGATATTGTACCACATGCCTAGATCTGAGAATAACTTCCTTTTCAAAACTCCCAAGTACCACCACAATGTGTGCAAAGAAGGTGTTGCTCTATTTCGCTGTAAATGATTGCTTATGCTAAGTCCTCCTGGCCCGTACTAAATGTACAATGACATAGTTGCAGCTTTGCTGTTTTAAAAAAAAAATTTGAAGGAATCCTTAGCCGTTGTTAAGTGACGAACAGCACATACTACGAGTAAGGAATATTTCACTACTTTTTCCTTTACTAGATCTGCTGATTACACCATAAAGGCTTCCTGAAATCCTGAGCTCCTGTTTCATTTACAAGTCCTTTTCAAAAAAGAAGCTGATTTCATACTGCAACACCCTGATAATTAAAAATGATTATTTTTAAGAGCCTTCAACAGAAATGTTTTAAGAGTGTTCTCATAAGTGAATAAAAGCAACACTTAACAAAAGAACAGCATCCAGTGGGGTGAACAATGTTTCCCTTCCAAACAACCCAATGGGGGGACCATACCCCTTCTCATGGCACTGCAAGACTGAATTTGCTGCCAAAACTGAGTGGTGCAGTTTTGCCAAAACCCCCAAAAACCTGGCATTTTTTGCCAAAAAAAAGCACAATCTTGCTTTAAACTAAGGTACCTTGTTGTTGTTGTTAGTCACAAAGTCATGTCTGACCCATAGTGACCCCATGGAGAACATTCCTTCAGGCCTTCCTGTCCTCCACCATCCCCGGGAGTCCACTCAAACTCACACCGACTGCTTCAGTGACTCCATCTAGCCACCTCATCCTCTGCTGTCCCCTTCTTCTTTTGCCGTCAATTGTTCCTAGCATTAGGCTCTTCTCCAGGGAGTCCTTCCTTCTCATTAGGTGGCCAAAGTATTTGAGTTTCATCTTCAGTATCTGGCCTTCTAAAGAGCAGTCAGGGTTGATCTCCTCTAGGACTGACCGGTTTGATTGCCTTGTGGTCCAAGGGACTCGCAGGAGTCTCCTCCAGCACCACAATTCAAAGGCCTCAATCCTTCGGTGCTCAGCCTTCCTTATGGTCCAGCTTTCACAGCCATACATTGCAACTGGGAAAGCCATAGCCTTGACTATACTCACTTCTGCCAGCAGGGTGATGTCTCTGCTTTTTAGTATGCTGTCTAGATTTGCCATTCCTTTCCTCCCAAGGAGCAAACGTCTTTTAATTTCTTGGCTGCAGTCCCTGTCTGCAGTGAACTTGAAGCCCAGGAAAATAAAATCTGTCACTACCTCCATTTCTTCCCCATCTATTTGCCAGGAAGTGAGAGGACCAGATGCCATGATCTTAGTTTTCTTAATGTTGAGTTTCAAGCCAACTTTTACACTCTCCTCTTTCACCCGCATCAAGAGGCCTTTAGTTCCTCTTCACTTTCTGCCATTAGAGTGGTATCATCTGTATATCTGAAGTTGTTGATATTTCTCCCAGCAATCTTAATTCCAACTTGTGATTCATCTAGCCCCGCCTTTCTCATGATGTGCTCTGCATACAAGTTAAATAGGCAGGACGACAGTACACAGCCTTGCCGAACTTCTTACTCAATTTTGAACCAATCAGTGGTTCCGTGTCCAGTTCTCACTGTTGCTTCTTGACCCGCAGATAGGTTTCTCAGGAGACAAATAAGATGGTCTGGTACTCCCATCTCTTTAAGAGCTTGCCACAATTTGTTGTGATCCACACAATCAAAAGCTTTAGCATATTCAATGAAGCAGAAGTAGATGTTTTTCTGGAACTCTCTAGCTTTCTCCATGATCCAGCATATGTTGACAATTTGATCTCTAGTTCCTCTGCCTCTTTGACATCCTGCCTGTACTTCTGGTTGACATACTGCTGGAGCCTAGCTTGTAGGATTTTGAACATAACTTTGCTAGCATGTGAAATGAGTGCAATGGTGCAGTAGTTTGAACATTCTTTGGCATTGCCTTTCTTTGGAATTGGAATGTAAACTGATCTTTTCCAATCCTGTGGCCACTGTTGAGTTTTCCAAATTTGCTGGCATATTGAGTGTAGCACTTTTACTGCATCATCTTTTAGGATTTTGAATAGCTCAGCTGGAATACTGTCACCTCCACTAGCTTTGTTGTTGCTAAGACTTCCTAAAGCCCATTTGACTTCACATTCCAGGATGTCTGGCTCAAGGTCAGTCACCACCCCATCGTGGTTATCGGGGACGTTAAGCTCTTTCTTGTATAGTTTTTCTGTGTAATCTTGCCACCTCTTCTTAATCTCTTCTGTCTCTGTTATGTCCCTGCCTTTTTGGTCCTTTATCATGCCCATCTTTGCATGAAACGTTCACTTTTCATGAAAGGTACCTAGGGAGCACAAATTTTGTTTGGAAGTAAAGTTGTGCTCCTGGGATGCTTCCAGGGACACAATTCTGTTCTCCAATAAGGTGTGTGTTCCCTGTGTGCCTTATTCTTAAACAAAAATCAACACCTTTTCAGCCACTGCTATCACCACAGTGGCAAATTCACCCATGGGGGTGGTGGGATGGTGGGGGTCTCAAGCTCATAAGTCACATGTTATTGATGCTTGGTATACAGTAAAACACAGAGTCAGTCAACTTGGCCTTAGAACCCTCACAGAAAAGATCTGCAGCAGAGACATCTGGCCACTTTATTTTGTGGGGTTTGATGCTAATGCTAGATGCCTCTAAGTGGAGATGGAAAAGTCGGTGAGCTTGGTTTCAGTGGAAAACATGCTCTGGCTCTGGGGATGGAAAGATGCCTATACAGGTTTTAGCAGGGGTTTTATGAACTCAATCTGCAGGTTCCCTAGGGCCCTCCTAACTGCAGAAATTAGGCTGTTTCCAGATAAGATTCTTAGCATGCAATCATTGTGACTCACAGAAATTTAAAGGGGATCTATACAATGGTGCAGGAAGGTTGTTGTTTTTTTCAAAAGACCAAATCACCTTCATAACTCTCCCATTTTTCCTTTACTTCTTTCATGTTTTTGTTTTCCACTGAAAACCCACTAAGGAGGAAAAGGCAGAGGAGTCACAGTATCTTTTGAATGGGCAGCATGCAGACACCTCCGGTCTCTGGAAAGACTTTTACTCCAGAGTGAAGGCATAGGAATGCACTGCACTGCTAATCTGAATGTGTGTCAGCTGCCTGCCTGCCTGCACAGGTTTGCCCTGAGAAGCTGGCAATGCTGATTCTGGCTACGCATGATTAAGACACATCTGCAGATTTAAGAAAGCCCCCACCATCATCAAAAAAGATTGAGAGGAGTGGCTTACAGCTGATAAATTCAATGTAAGCTTCAGTGATAATGTATCTGAATATGTTAGAAGCATGTTGCACTAAGTCATTTGCAGAGTTCCATGATGCAAGATAAGGGAAATCATCACTTCCTCCCTCTGCGGTTTGTCTGGCTGAAGCTGCTAGAAAACGTTGGGCATAGTTTTGTGAGAAGCCTGCTTTCAACATGGACCAAGAAGTGGTGGGGTACATCGTCCTTCTGGTCATCGTCACTCTTTTAAGTGTCGTGCAAAATGGTAAGTGGGAGCAGAGCAGTTGGAAAGAGAGTGAGGTGAGAGCGGGAGGGACAATTTGGTGCATTATGTGTTGACGAAGAAAAATGGGATTGGCTACGCTTTCATTTTTTCCTCTGTGCTTCTCCTGGGTGGAGTTTCTGAGTTTCTTTCAGAAACTCTCCTTCCTTCTTCTTTGGTTTGCCTGACTGGAATTCAGGACTTGTAGACTCCTGGTTCAAGTAACTTAGGGTGCTTATTTAGACCAAAAGTCTACAACCCCCCAGCAGTCCCCAGCCAGCATGGTGGGAACCACAAGGCTTATTTCTGTTTAAACAAGCCTTGGAGTTCACCACTAGTCTGCACTAAGGGCATGAACCTTAATGTTACATTAAGAATTGCATCAATTCAGATGTGGCAAGCTATAGGCTTTGATGGAAAGTTTTGTTCCTCTTTTAAAGAAAGCAGAAAGGGCTTATTTAATAAAATGATCTACAGGAGTTGAACAAGCTGATAATGTCTAGGTTTTTGAAGAAGCGATGATGGGGGCCCTTATGGAGCATGCTGCACTCACCTGCAGAGGTTTGTGAGACATTCATCCCTTTTGAAAAAGTACACAGCATCAGGCACAAGTCCAACCCAGCCCCATCCAGAGATGTTGCAGACTGGCTGGGAACGGCTTTTATGCAAAGCATTCTGCCACCCCTGAGCAGTAGCCAAGTTCCCTTGATCCTTGCTGGGCTGGACTTGGTGGGTGACAGCATCCAGGGACTTGAATTCCTATTCATTCCAGGGCATAGTCCAAAAGCAGCATTTCCCCCCTAACTTGCTTCTACCCAGTACTCACTGAGTGGCAGCCTGTATGTTGTCTGCAAAGGGGGGGGGCAGTCTTTTTGAGAGTGGAGTGTGGGCCACAGCGCCATCTTGTTTGCTACAGGTGAGGAACAGTTTTAAGAGCCCTGGGTGAGCGATCTGGGGACATCCTCCGCAAGTCGGTGGCAGAGGGCATTCAGGGACATTGCTGCTACAAAGAGAAGGGCTGATCTCCCTGAGGCTGCAACCCTCCCTGGAAAAATTGCCCCTCTCCTGCTGCCATTGCAACGTGTGTGTGTGCGTGCGTGCGCATGTGCACACATGTGTCTATATGCCTTCCTGCTGCTCCCCTCCTTGAATTTTTCTGTCTGAGGGTTTTTTTCCTGAAATTAAATGCTTCCTCCCCCATGTCCACACATCCTGAGAGATACCCTGAGGAGTCAGGGTCGTTTAAAGACATACATGGAGAGAGAATTTAGAACATGCATAAATGAGCATATGTTTCTGTGGTACTGAGACCCAGATCTTTTTGATACTGAGCACTGCCCTTGGTTCCATCACACTGGCAAGAGTACCAAGAGGTATGACCCGCAGGTGACAGCAGTTGGGTTTCACATTGGAGCCTGCAGTTGAAATACATTAGAAAAGACTACCATAGCTGAAAGGCCAACTGGGATTTTTTTTCCAGAAAGATGAAACTCTTTGACTGGGCCATGATTCTAGAAGAGGGGAAGAAGCCAAATGAAGACGCCTTAGTCATCACTCTTCCCCTCAAGATGAACAGACTAGTGGTTTTCGTCCTTCCTCTCTCTGGCATGTGCTTCAGCTTGTGGAGATCTAAGCATGAGCTCATAGCCTCTAGGGCAGCAGTTTGCAAATGCCCTACCTGTAAGGAACATGGTTTTAGCCTAGGAGCAGTGTACTGCCCATGAATCTCCATCCAGGAGCCCGGTGCCTTGCTTTCCACCACTGGCAATCTCCTCTTCATTACACAGTCCCTAAAGAACACCAGAGTTGTTAGAACACCATTTGAAAATTAGACTTTTGGCCAGTGCATCCAATTTCTAAATGAGGAATGGCAGATCTTGGAGGCAAAATCCAGTGCTACAGGGTTCCCGGATGGCTGTGCCCCTTTCTCCAGCCCCCTGACCCTTTTTCCTAGCCACCTGTTGGGAGTGATGCAGGTGGCTGCTGTGGGCACATGTTCTCAAGGGCTGCTGGCTGAGCTGCAGAAGAATCAGAAGGAGAAGGGGCAGAGGAGCAGGGACCGCTGAGAATGTGGGCCATCCTGAGACACTGAGATGAGAGAAACAGAGATGCTTATATCAAGACCAGGCTCCCCAGGTGGGCAGGCAGTTGCTGGGAATAACCAAGATGTACAGTTGCTTGGAGGGGACTTGCAGCAGGGGAGTTTCTCAGACACAGATGAGGTGGGCATGGCTCTTGACCCCATGGTACGTCATCGGCAGTGGAGGGCAGCCCACAGCATGCAGTGAGGAGGTATGCTCATTTTTGGAAAACCCCATCCTCCTGAATGGATGGGGCCCAGGCATGCTCATAAGGTGGGCTCCTGGAGGTAAATACTAGATTAAGTTCAAGAAACCTCTCTGTGCATGCTCAGAGCTTCATTCTGGGTGTTTTTGCTTTTGGTCAATAAAGAATACTTTGTGAGGAAAAGGTGTGTGGCTTTGAATGCACAAAGGGGGAACATCAGCTCCCAATATCACTGATCATTTGATGCCTTCCCAGCCTGATTTGTTTAATGTTTGGCAGTTTTCTCCTCATTCTAAGGGTGCCACACTAAGGCTCCCTGACATAGCTAGTGCAGCAAGAACCGTGCCGGCTGCCTACCCCTCTCCAAGGTTGCGACTCGGCCTTAGAGGTGGAAAGCAGGGCATGCCAGAAGGCAGGAAGGGGAAGAGGCGGAGCCTGAGGACATAGGCTGATTCTAACTGGCACCCACCCTCATTCCCTCCTGTTCCCTGGTGCTAAATCCAGATGGCCGAAAATGGCTTTCTAATGAAAATGTGGTGTGCCAGTGACAAAGACTGCAGTTGCCACACATTGCCTCATTCCATCATCGGATGCTCATGATGCTTCAGGGTATGTCCCTCAAATGCTAAAATGTTTCTCCTAAGCCTTTGTTACTTGTCAGTAAGAGCTTTCAGCTAACAAAGTGGGTATCTTTGTATTTTGGCCCCATCCTGTTTACTGCCTGTCCCACCCGCTTTGGAATGTAGCTCCAAGGAGCTTCCCCAGATTTAATTTCAGCCTTCAGGCTGAAGGGAGTTTCCCCCCTGAGCTCTACATTTATTAGCTCAACTCATAGATGAATTAAAATAAAGCACATGGGGAAGATAAATATGTCTCATTACAACTGATACCCTGAGTGTGAAAAGTAAAGTTTCACAACCCCTAGAAAAATATCAGACTGTGGTGTTAGGGCATCAAAAACAGAGATGCACAAATATAATCCAAAAGCTGGATTCTACACCTACCATGTTGCAAGAGGCATGTTATCTCCACTGGGCACCAAACAGTGGGGATAGTCCCAAGGAGAATAAGTCTTTGGGGGCTCAGACTTTCAGGGTGATGGGTGAAAGTACCACACTATTTGGCTTGGAGAAGAAGAGCTTTAAGGCCCCTGGGAAGGAACTATGGGGACAGTCTCACCAAATTAGCATTAAGCTGCAGGTCACTGCAGGAGGACACCTTGGGCCCTTGTGGAAGGGTGACCTGTGTCCTCTTTTACAGAGATCACTCCTTTATTCAAAGTGCAGTCACATTTTCTGTATACAGATGTCCTTTATTTAAATGGTGGTCCTGTCCAATTGTGGTTCCAAGCTAAAAACCATGAGAACACTTGCCCATCCATTGTTAGCACCAAAACAGCGGATTGAAGAGGCAGGCACACAGGACACCTGGTCAAAGTCCTCCACACTATGGTGAAATGTGCTGTATTTCTATTTAAATTATAATCATTTCTAAATTTGCATATATACATAAAATAGCCTATGCAAATTCTATGCAAATGCCTATCCTGAATTGTCCTCTTTCTGGGTAATAAGTGACCACACTGCTGCATGCAGTATTTGTGTCAGTGTGCTTACACTGAAGGTGTTTTTGTTGTTACCTGCTGTCAAGTTATCTCTGACTTATCGCTGCACCATGCATGAAAGCCCTCCAAAATGTCCTGCCTTTGACAGCCTGTAAAAACAAGGCTGTGGCCTCCTTTATGGAATTGACCCATCTCATATTTGGCCTCCCTTTTCTTCTTCTGCCTTTGACTTTGCCTAACATGATTGTCTTCTCCAGGGAGCCTTGGCTTCCCATGATGTGCCCCAAGTATGACAGCCTCAGTTTCGCCACTTTTGCTTCCAGGGAAAGGTCTGATTTGATTGAGGACCCTCTTGTTTCAGGCTATACACAAAGCTCTCCTCCAGCACCATGTTTCAAACACATCCATTTTCTTCCTGCCAGCTTTCTTCACTGTCCAGCTTTCACATCCATACACAGTGATCAGAAATACAATAGTGTGGATGATCTTGGCCTTGTTTTCAGTGAAATGCCCTTGCACTTGCCTATTCTTTCTAGTTCCTTCTTTGCTGCCCTTTCAAGCCTCAATTTTCTTCCTCTTTCTTGGCTGCACTCCCCATTTGAATTGAAGATTGAACTAAGGGTTATACAACAACATTGTAATTTAATTTTAATGCTGTAGGTTTCAATATATTTGAGTGCTTTTTATTCTGCCTTGTATTTATTACATTTATCAGCTGATGCATTGAGTTATTTGTTATTGTTAGTTCATTTATTGATTAGTTGGTGTCAGTTGGCTAGCATTGTGTTAAGGAAGTAGTTGTTATTCTGTTGTTAATAATAATTCGTTATTTCAGTGTTCTGTTAATATGCAACTAACAGGGTTACTGAATGGCATGTATTGCTATTTTTGAAATTACTGTTATGTTTCTGTTTCTTAGCAACTGTGGGCATTCCACAGAATGCATAGGATATAAATATTGAAATAAAAAAGAGTATGTTTTTTACAGCCTTTTTTGCAAGCAAGGTTGAACAGGAAAGCAAGAACAGTACTGGCAAAATTGTTCAGCGGGGTGGTTCATCTGCCTTTGAGCGGGTCTTTACTGCCAGGTGAGTATTCCTGCATGATTTTAGTAAAGATCAGAGCAGCTGTACCCAATCACTTGCAGACACACACATTCTCATATCTAAAGAAACAATGCAGAGCTCAGTTCTGTTACAGATAAGGTGTTATCTTTAATAAAGGAAACCTAAGTTCATGTCTTAAATAAAACAAATCAGGCTTCAATCTAGCTGGCCTTGTAATACTATGTGAGATAGTAAACTAGCTCTTGTTATCTCAATGGTAAAGGAAGACTATTCTGAATATCTTCAGACATTAACCTATAATCAGATAATATGCAGAGAGGAAATTAGGTTTAAGGCACAATCCTATGAAAGTGTAGAAGAAAAAAAGATCTATAACTCCCAGCATGCCTCAGCATGCCAGGGAATGCTGGGAATTCTAGACCTTTTTTCTATCTAAAAAGGGGGTTCCATTTGTATAATATATTAGCTAAAGGTGCAGTGGAGTTTGCACTCTTAGCTAATATATTATACAAGTAGAACCTGCAATGAAAAGATCCAGAATGGAGCGCTTCAGTTCAGGGTCCTGGCCAGTCATGCTCCTTTCCATTACATAATTCTTCCCCACATTTTTCTGGTTTGCCCCTCCAACAGGCTGCCACCATCCTTTGACAATAGAACATGTTCAGTCTTCCCTGACTTGGTTCCTGCTCCATTTAGGGCAGTTGTTGCTGTTGTTATTCGTTCAATATTACTTCGTTTTGGACTTGTGCATACCTTGGGACTCCCCTTCCCCAAGTCTGGTGAGACTTTCCCCTTAGCATGGACTGGCACTTAAAGAATGAGTCAATATATAATAGGCTATTGAACTCTGATTATCTACATACTAGGGCATGAGGAGACAATCAGAAGCTTCTGTTTATTTTTTTTAAATTAAGCTCATTCTGGTGCATTGTCCAAACCTTATACTGTGGTTGCTCCTAACTATTATTAAGCTCATAACCTATAATCTGAAGTTGGCCAGCCATAGTCAAGATTAACCACAGTGTGTCCAGATTTGGATGTCACAGCAAACTTAAGTTAATCTAAAACAGAAGCAAAAGCCTCTGAACTTTTCCTTGTGGCTGCACTGGATGGATGGGCTTGTGTAAGCATAAAGCTTGCTTCTTATATAAGCTAAATAAGGGATAAACAACTTTTTTGGTCTACAGCTGGATTGATCCGCCACCTCAACCAAACCAGCAGGACAGATGTCAAGCAGGCAGACTTTGTCTTGAATCCCCTTATCTTCCCATGACATCATCCAGCCTCACCCTACCCACATATATATATATTTTAACTCCTTTTCTGCACACTTCTATCTGTACTGAGAAAAGAAGTTTGCAGAAGCCAGTTCTCACAAGTTGGATGCAAGGTATGGAAGGGGATCCGGTTAGGGCTTGGAGAAGCTGGACTTGCGAGTTTCAGGCAGATCAGCAGCTTCTTTCTGGAACTTCTCATGTCCCAATTCAGTTGAAAATGGCCTGGGAAGGGACTCAACTAGGTTGAATTTTTTTTTTTTTTTTAGGTTGAAATTTTTTATTTAAATAAAAACATACTCAACTAGGGCTTGAGCCCAAGGAAATACCCATATTATTTCTGATCCTTGAGCAGAGATAACATGAGGATTCCTCCTCTAGTCTGGGGCATTGGGCTTAGATTGGGAGAAGGACCCACAGAGGTGCCAGACCATTAGACACCTCCAATGTGCTCAGCCTTGATTTAGTGTTATATCTAGACAAGCTCATTATGCTTGGGAAGTACACTTAGATGGCTTAAGGAAGCATTCCTTCTTAGCTGGCCAATATCTAGGCAAATTCATTAATGCTCGACCATACATGCCAGGGTTAAGTCCTGATATAAAAAAGATAGATTGGAATGACACCTGGTTCAAGTTAAGCCTTATAGAGTCGATATTTATATCCCAGATAAGGTGACTGACTATTGTAATGGGAAATAGGGTTTATTTATGCTCTTTGAGATGGTTATCTTTCTGACTTTTTGCATTGAACTTTCCACTTTTCCTCATCCAGCTTGTTCATGACTTGGTTTGAACTGTATGGCTATATTTTCTTGTTCTCATTATGGTGCTATTCATTCTCTACAATGTCCTTTCCCAGCCAAAACTGCAGAGACGCCTATCCAACATTTCTTGCCGTACTTTGGTGTGCTGGCTTGCTGTGTAGCCAAGGTAATGTATGCAAGTCATTTCTTCACATCCCTCCCCAAATCTTTTTATTGTTTACAACAAATGACAATGCTGCATTTTCATTTTGAAAGACTCTTTCCTTGATGTCAAAAACAGGAACTGAGGAGTTTATTTTTAAGAGCTCCAGGAAAAACAGTACTGCTAACATGGACATAATCCACACAAATGGATTAATTTACAACATGGAAGTACAATAGAGTGCAAGTGACCAACTTTTCTTTCTGAATGTGCTCCTGGGCTATTTAAGAATTATATGATTACCAAGGATTTAGCCAATGAGTCTTTTCCCATTATTGTATCCACATACTGGAAAAAGTATTTCTATTTCTGCTTGCCATCACATAGTTGCACAGGAGCTTTGGCTAATGAAAACACAGGCCAAGTTAAATGGATTAAAATGAAGGAGGGAGCGTCCAAAGAAGGAGTTTCTCGCATCATCAGTTAGAAGGCTCCATGCAGCTATTCCACCTGTTTCTCCTTGATGGACTTTCTGCTTTCTGTAGAGGCACAGGTGGCCCACAGCGTCCATTGCCAACTTCAGTTGGTGTGCCAACTACAACTGTTACTGGACAGGAATAGCCCTTGGTGATCCATGGATAAGTAAGACTAGGTGGGCAGGATAGGTAAGGCAGGATAGGTAAGGTAATGTGCTCTGTCTGGGGCTGCCCTTGCACCTGTTCTAGGAGCCACAGCTAATGCAGAATACCATGGCTAGGGTGCTCACTGGAACCCAGCTATGCTCACACATTATTTGTGTTTAAAGAAATGCACTGGCAGCCTATTGGCTACCAAGCCATATTAAAGCTTACGCTATTGTCATACCAACCTTTAAGATCATCAGAGAAGGCCTTGCTGGTCATTTCAAATCTGACAGAACAGCATCAGTGTTGGGACTTCTTTGATGATCTTAAAGGCCACCCTTTGGAAAACCCTCTCCCAGGCAGTAAAAATGGCATGCTTCAAATGTGCTTGTTGACCCAGACCTTCCCTGGCTCATAAGAAGTCTTCATCCTGCAGCCTCAGGAAGAATTAAAACATAAATTACCCCTGCTGGCTGGTAAGTGAAAGCTATCCTTATGCAGTTTGCAACCCCTTGAGGGAAAATTCCAGCCAAACCAGGTTGGGGTATAAAGTCACACCAGAAGTGACATCTGCAGGGAGTGGGAGGGGGTATTCATCACACTGCTCCAGCTACTCTTCTCCTTGTATTGTTCTGAATTAGTCCTGTAATTGGAATTGTATTTAATACACTATGTGAAATAAGATGGTTCTGGGGGACTTCAACCTCCACTCCAAGACTCTCTTTTTCTGGGATAGGGCGGCTCAGGATTTCATGGCTGCCATGGAAACCATGGGGATGTCTCTGCATGTCACAGGCCCAACACATGAGAAAGGTCACACTCTTGACCTGGTTTTTTTGACTGGGCAGGAGAATGGTGATCTGAATGTGAGGGATTTGACACTGAGACTTTGTTGAGGTCAGATCATTTCCTTATGAGATTTAAGCTAATGGTCTCTTTCCCCCTCTGCAAGGGTGCAGGACCTATTAAAATGGCCTCCCCCCTGCCCGGTCCCCAAGTCTAATGGATCTTGATGGATTCCTGAGGGCTTCGGAGGAATTTCTGGTTGATATGGCTGGTGGAATGTAGAAATGACCTGAGTGGTAGACATGATCGCACCTAAATGTCTTCTCCCTATAAGCAGAACCTGTGTTATGCCTTGGTATACATCTGAGCTGTGGGTGATGAAGCAGGCTAGGAGATGGCTAGGGAGTAGGTGAAGAAAAACTCATTCTGAATCTGACCAGACACTACATAGAGTTCATTACTGAGCCTATGCTGTGGCAGTGAGGGTGGCAAAGAATTTCTTCTCTGCTTCCATTGCATCCTCAGTGTTGTCCAGTGCAGCTTTTTCGAGTGGTGCAGGGCCTGTTACATTCTGGGCTCAAGATGGATCCTCTTGAACCTTCAGTGTCCTGCTGTGACAAATTTGCTCAGCACTTTAGGGATAAAGTCACTCAGATTTGCCACAAATTAGACTCCTCAGTGACTGTTGTTCCTGCAGTGGAGGTGTGCAGAGTACTGACTAGTCCACCTTTGTTGGATAGGTTTCAATTATTGCAGACTGAGGATGTGGACAAGGTGCTTGGACAAGTCCGACCCGCCACATATTTACTTGACCCTTTCCCTTCATGGCTGATCACCAAAGCGAAGGATGGGATGCATACATGGGCCCAGGCAGATGTAAATGCCTCTCTGAGGGAGGGGCTGGTTATTAGGACTTTCCTAATGAAGGCAAACCTTCACCCAGAGGTTGCCATAAATTATGGACCAGTGGCTAATATCCTGTTCTTGGGCAAAGTGCTCAAATGGCTGGTAGCCAGATAATTCCAGGCTTTCTTGGAGGAAACTGACCATCTGGACCCATTCCAGTCTGGCTTCAGGCCTGATTTTGGGAATGAAACTGCCTTAGTCACCCTGTATAATGACCTGTGCTGGGAGAGGGACAGGGGGAGTGGGTTCCTGTTCGTCTTTCTGGTCCTCTCAGCAGCTTTCAATACCATTGACCATGGTATCCTTCTGGGTTGGAGGGGGGTTGGAGGCACTGCTTTGCAGTGGTTCTGCTCCACATAACACCAGTCCTGTACCACCTGCACTGGCTACCAGTTGAAGTCCAGGCCCAATTTAAGGTGCTAACTTTGATGTATAAAACCATAAACAGTCTAGGGCCTTAATACCTGAAGGAGCAACTCTTTCCCTCAACTCTTTCTCTATACACCTGCCCAAGCATAAGATCTTCCACTGAAGTCCTTCTCCAGGAGCCCTCTTTGAAGGTTAGAAGAGTGGCTACCCAGAGAAGGGCCTTTTCTGTGGTAGCACCCTGGTTTTGGAACCTGCTCCCCATAAAGGTACACCTGGCACTGATGTTTTGTTAATTTTAGCGCCAGGCCTAAACTTTTTTTTTATTTACACGGTGTTTGGTATGCATGGGATATAAATGTTTTAAATAAAGAAATAAAGTGATATTAATATATGTGTGTTGACTGCTTAGGAATGCTGCATAGAATTATTACAAGTGCTAATTAATAGATAAGAAAGGGAAGGCAGCAGGAAAACATGCAGGGTTAGGAGTGGAGGAGGATGACCTCTGGACCCCCTGCAAGTTTTTACACATGACTCTGAGCAATGGCACAATAAAAGCCACATCTGGAAATATCACAACCTAGGCCACAGGTGGGCAAGGACCACTTTCTACCCACAGAAACTACAGGGGGCTGCAAGCTCCACCAAATTTGGCAGCAGTTCAGTAATGGTGGAAAAGTAGCATTTTTGCTTTAAAACAAGATCTTGTCCTGATACCAGATCATGTTTCTGAAACTCCAGGGGAGTGCTGTTTTGCATTGCAACTAGTTGCTTGCTTCCACTGAACCTTATTATGTTACCTTGTCTGAACCTAAGCACTGCCTGTGAGCACTTTCTGGACCGAGGAATTTGATTCCAGAATCTGAATTGAGCTCCTTACCACAGAAGTGTCCACTCCGAGTTACTTCACACTTTCCCAAAGTAGATAACAGGGAGCTACATTCCTCAAAGATCTTGCTAAAAAGGGCAGCCCCTTGCAGTTCGGTTAGCTGCTTATATGAACTGTGTTTTCATTTTCAAGATTGGTATATGGCCTGAGCAGTTACAAGAAAGGGCTTGTCTACTCAAGGTATTTATCATGAACTTGCCATCCCCTAGTGTGACTGTTCAGAGATTCTTTAGATGACAGCACGGCCCTCCATTTTCACCTCTGTGTCTAACTAGTCCATTTGGCAAGTTTTTAGAGCATGGAAACACAGCACTTAATTGTGAAAGAAGTGCAAATCCTTCTTATGTAATCATGCTGTTTTGCTACGCCACAGTGCCACCTACGAGTTATGCAGCAGAAAAGCACTCCAAATGCAGCGATCTCAGTTCTGCAACAGCTTGGGACCTGGATTCCTGAAGGAACGCCTTCTTCCATATTTGCCCTCCCGCCCCTTGAGATCGGCAGCAGAGGCCCTCCTCCGGGAACCCTCTGTGAAAGATATTAGGAGGCAAAGTACCCAGAGGAGGGCTTTCTCTGTGGTGGCGCCCCATCTATGGAATGCGCTCCCCAGAGAGGTCCGCCTGGCGCCGTCATTATTTGTTTTTCGGTGCCAGGTTAAGACCTTTTTATTCCAGTGATATTTTAATAAGTTTTAATATTGTCTTTTCTATGTTTTTAGCTGCAGCCAGTGTGGGTCGGGAATTTATTTATGTTATTTATGTTACATTTTATATTGTAAGGCATCCTGAGGTTTTTTTTGCGAATAGGACCACATCTAAATATTTTAAATAAATAAATAAATAAATGCCACAGATCAAGAGCTGATTTACAGACTCATGTAGAAAAGCTCAAAGATGCCCATGTTAGAAGCACTGCTTCATTTTCAAATCAGGCAAGACCACAAAAGCTTATGTTTCAATTCCTACAATTGTAACTTCTAATTTTGGTTCTACTATACCTGCACCTATGAAGTGTCTTTTTCCAATGAACACTGGGAATTGTCATTTTGTCAAAATGCTTAAAATGCTTTTTTTCATGTCCCCACCTCACAAGTGGGAATGTGTAGTCCTCCAGAAGTTGCTGGATTGCAATTTCTATCAGTCTTGGGCAGCATAGTAAATGGTGAGGAGTGATGGGAGTTGTAGTTCAACATCAGGAGGGCCACATTCCGTATCAGATCAATATGGTGCTCTTCTGGCTGAAAGCCATGATAGTTAAACAGGATTGAAACTAACTTAGGTTTCTGACCATAGTCAATGTCAAGCCTGTGTTCATTTCCAAAATATTTTCCTTTTTCCTTTCCTTAGCTCCTGCTGCCTTTGCTGGACTGATGTACTTGTTTGTGAGACAGAAATACTTCATTGGCTACATGGGGGAAAGGACTCAGAGGTAAATCCAGTTTTATCCTCTCCGAAGTTGTATTCACATACACTTCATGGACACACCATAGTGATTAGCCTTGCTCCGATTCAGTCTATGCCAACCTGGTGCCTTCCAGATATTAGGAACTACAATCCCTATTCCACCTCTGATTTTTGGCCATGTTGGCTGGGACTGAGGGGAGTTGTTCAAATCATCTGGAGCTCATCAAGTAGGGGAAGACTATCTTAGATTTTCATACTCAATTCATTGGGCTAACTTAGCACATGGTGTTTTCTTCTCACATAGAGGAACACCCACAGAGAAATATATATAGAAAATGTTGTTTTGGGGTTTCATATCCCTGAAGATTTTTGCAGGAATGAAAAGATAAGAAAATAAAACTTCTCATGTATTTCTGTATAGGCTTTCCCTCCAAAGGACAAAACTATATTTTCCTCTGATTGCGCTACAAGAGTGGGTTGCTGAGGATGTTCAGGTGTCCTACCTTCCAGAAGATAGTCCTCCATTTCAAAGGCTAGAAGAGGACAGTCTTCAACTATAAAGAAGACTTTTGGGTCCAAGCCCAGTTGCAATCCCAAGACCAGCTCAGGAGTGCTAAGAAGGGGGAGCTTCAGAGAGCTGGGCGGGCACAGATCACCTGGTTGGTTTTCCTGCCATGGTGAAATTCATGCTCTTTCTACTTTAATTCTAGCAATTATTTCAATTCTCGTTCAGTCTGACAGAAAAAGAATCACTTTTGAAAAGAAAAGTAAGGGAGAAGAAAATTTAAGAGACATTCTCATGGTTTGTGTTTGGGGTTCTTGTGCTTCTTTTTAATTAAGATGTGGCAAAAGAGTGGTGTGAGTGTCTTTCATTGTACACTCCTCTCCCCAGAAGCCTGCCGAGTCCTTGGCTTCCTGTATTCCAATTAATCCCCAGGGATGACATCATGAGGTAATTCCTCTCACAGCAATTTTCCAGGTCAGAAAATACAGGCAGCCAAGGATTCCGCCAAGCAGTGGAGAAAGTAAACATGCCCACAGCACCCTCGCCCCCTCACAGAGATTAGGTAAGCTCAAAGCATCACAAAAATAGGTTATAAAAGAAGCTGCAAATGAGATAGAACAATGGAAGTCTCTTGCAGGGGAGAAGAATGCTTTCAAGTATTTGGAAGGCAGATTTAAGGCTAGCACCAGCTCACCTCTTCCCTGGAATGCCACACAAAACAGACCCCCTCACATCAGCATTGTGGTGGACACAAAATGGGGGCCAACCCAGTAGATGCCATGGCCAGTTGTAACTGCAGCACCAGAAAACGCCTAAAAGTCTAGTAGTGAAAATGCAGGATCATGACACTGTCAAAGGAATCGGTAAGCAACCAAGAATGGATGGATGATAAACATCTTGTATAGAAAAGCTCTAGGATTCCAGCACCCAGTGCCTTCAGTGAATTGTCAGAGCATACTTTGAACTCCTAAAATATACTGGCACTGTAATCCTATTCTCCCTTACCTGGTAGGAAGGCCTGTTGAATTTGGACAGCCAGTGTGGCATAGTGGTTAGGCTACAACTCAGGACTATTGAAGGCACACTTTATTATTAAAGAGCATACATTTTGCATTGTGCATGGAATTTCTCTGCTGATTTACGCCTGTGTGCCTCAGATGAAATTAACTGTGCTGCAGAGACATACATCAAGGCAGAATTTGACCCCATTAATCTGAACATCTGAGCTCTATTTAAGTTGAGCTCAACCTTAGTGACATATAAAGAGGCTTAGCTCTTTTCCAGTGAATCGATAAGTTCTTACATATTGCTTTTTTCCCTTGTCTCTCTCTCAGCACTCCTGGCTACATTTTTGGAAAACGCATCATCTTGTTCCTGTTCCTGATGTCTGTTGCTGGAGTTCTCAACTATTACCTGGGTGTCTTATTTGGAAGTGACTTTCAAATATATATAAAAACCGTAACTGGTACCATCTCCCCACTCTTACTAATTCCGTAAATCTGTGCAGAAAGGGAGGTGGCAGAGAATGGAGGAGGTCAGCGTGCTTAGCCAATCAATATCCAGAAGCAGATGTTTGAAATGAACCTACAAAGCTTCTTTTAGATTGCCATAAATCTAGAGCTCTTTGGGACTCTGTTGTACTGGTTTAACAGTTTTTTCCTATGAGAAAATGATTTATTCTGCACAGTTGGCATGTCTTGGGAAGAAGAGTAATATGTTATATATTCCTGTAAACTTCTATAAATGAGTCTGGGTGCAGAATTCTGATGTGCAAGGAAAAATTTCTTTGCCATCCCTAAAATGTGTTTTTTACAAGATACAAACACACTGCCTGGTTTTTGCAATGTTCATGAATTCCTATGGCAGTTTATAGAATTCAGATTCCCATCTGTGTCAATATATTTATGTGAAGATATAGGGCCGGGGGCTTGGCAGTTGTTTATTGCTATCACATTTGCTTAATATATATAAAAATTAAGCCTGTGGAGTACCATTCTCTCCCTGCTTTCTTTTGGAGTATTCTGGTTTTAAAAATAAAGCTATTTACAGTGATGCAGCTTATTTCTTTTACTGTTTGGTCCTAATCATTTCTAAAGCTCGCAAATTAAAACACAGATTAAGTGAGGCAACGATTTTTACTAGGCAAAACAGTGTTCAAAATATTGGATGCAGTCTTTAGAGCCGACACATGATTCTTTTCAGACACAAGAGTTTAAAGCGAAAAAAAAAAAATCATGAAGGTGCTACATGTAGTAATGTTGGTGACTATGCAACATTTCTGGGTATTAAGTCACACAGTGCCCAACTGTTCACACAAAATTATTTCCCTGTTTTTGAAGGATATGAAAAGATGGGTGCTTAATTAACAAGAGTGCTTGTGGGGTCCTCCACAAAGAAAAATAAAAACTTGCCCAACGCTCCGCATCTTCCTTGCTTAGCTTGGGACCCTCCAGACATGTTGCATTATAACTCCTATCACTGAGTTAGAATGTATGGTTATGAGCCATCAGGTTCAGGATGATGGAAGCTGTAGTCCAGCAACTGTTTTAGAAGCCTGCTCTGCACTTACGCCTACTATACATAGATTTGTAGCATAAATAGAGCCAGGTCTTCTTCCTTGCCTTTTTGAGAATAACCCTTATTCTACCGAAAAGTTCTTCCTTAATGTTGGAGAATTGTGACAGGCAACTTGCACTGCAGCACAGAGGGCTTTTGGCTCATAAAAGAAAATAAGTACTATTCTCTTCAGTGCATGTTTTTGGATCATGGTCTATATTTCACAAAAAGCATTTTCTGATTGCCTTTAATGTCAATAAATATATGATGTGTCAGCACCTAACCTTTTGGAGTGGCAAGTCACTCGTGACATTTTGTCTCCCATCCAGAGCAGAAAGATAACACAAAAACAATGAAAGAAATGCACCACCACACATTATTGGTGACATAGAGGATAGTATTAATCATTGTTTTACAACCTTCTGCCTGCAAAGCATAACAGGATGTAGAAACATTGATCATCTTGTGTAATTCAATTCAGATTGCTTTTTCGAGTTCCAGAGGCAAGGTTGCCTGATCAAATTGGACCTGTGGAGCCATAACATCTGTTCTGCGAAGTATTGTGGAGCTGAAATGTTTTGAAATAAAGGCCCCCTCCTCCGATGAGGTCCTCAAAGGAATAGCGGAGTATCATTTAAATAAGAGCTATCCTTTGCTATTAGAAAGAAGTGGGAACCTTAAAGAAGAAATGAATATCCTGTCACCATTTGAATGTTGCTTGCCATTTAAAGACCATGTTTGTCTTCAGATGATTCCCACGCTGCCTTCTGCTCCCTTCAATCTAATTATCTCAGCAGAGGGTCAGCACCATTGAAGGAAGCAATCCCATTTGATCTTACATGTAACTAAAGGCATCAGAGCTGCTCCATGCTTCAGAGCTAGACCAGGCCTCCTGGGAACAATGAGCAACAAGGAGGTGCTCTTTGTGATTTGTTAAATAGATTTCTTTCATGTGCAGATAGTTTTCACAAAACTGGTTTTTCGTTCTTACAGCACCACCAGAGATACTTTTATAATGACCAAGGTGGATGTGTGCTCAGAAGCTGGTCCTCTGAGAATGTTCCACACCTCTTTCAGCTGCCTGATCAAGCCCTGTGTTTGAAATTCAGACAGCAGAACACACACTGCTTGCTTCTTACTTTTCAATGCTTTTTCCAGCAGCAGAACACACGCTTCTGGGCAGGAAGTAACTTGCCACCAATGTTGTTAATGGCACATTTATTAATTGGACCTGCCTGGAGGGAGGAGAGGCCTGTGTGATGACCTTCCCCAGCTAGGAGCCCTCCAGATTTTTTGGACTATGATTCCTACCAGCCCGAGGCAGCACAGTTGATGGTCAGAGAAGGAGGGCTCTATAGTCTAAAACATCTGCAGGGCTTCAGGTTGAGGAAGACTGCTGACTGCTGTATGGGGCTAAAAAGCAGGATGTAACTCTTTAAGTAAGAAAATGCATGTATAAATCATCATGTTGGATCCATTAATATATTAAGACATGTCAGACATGTACACCATGTATTTCCACGTGGGAGACAGCTACATGCTCCTCTCCATCTCTGCAATATCTTTGGAGGCACATGCTCCCTCCCTGGCTGTTGTCAAGGGCCCCCTTCAACAGATCCCTTTCTCATCTGCAGCAGCAAAGCAGGAGTGTTGAACCTTTTTTAGCCCCAGGGCCAAATTGAGTTCTGGAGAAGCTCAGAGGGCTACATTCTATCAGTGGGTGAGGCTGAAGGCAAAAGGCCCCAAACACCAGCATATTGTAGCTTGATGGTCCTACAGCCAATCACTGAGTCTTGGTAGCATTTCAACCTTTTAGAATCGGAGAAAATTGCACAAACCTTGGGAAACCACCAAACAAACAGGGCTGCATCAGGTACCCAGGCCAAGGTTCTGCATACGTCCAGATGAGGCATTGACGGTGCAACTACCCATCTCACTCACAGAATTTAATCAGGTGATGTATGTCTAATGCACCCTTCCTAAGTTTTCCCATTTTTTCCTCGTCGTTTCTCTTATTGCAGAAAATTCCTCAGTACGACAAAGAAGGAAGAGCTGCACAATGTCTCCTGATGAGTAGTGCTAGGAGCTCTCTGTCTGGATACACCTTAGGTTCAGAAAAGATCAGGGAGGCAAGCATAAGTGTCCTTTGAGGAATGCCTCACTGAAGTCAATGGGACTTGATGCTGCGTAAACGCACAGAGGGATCATGCTGCAGGGAAAGGTTTTGCTCAGCACTTCCTTGAAGTGGCTCTGGCATCCTAATACTCTGGAGTTTGGCCTCTGATGAAAAGTAACTTATCCCCAGCAGAGAACAACAAGAGCACAAAGTCAGACCAACCACTGTCTCCAACCATTCCTCCCATTTTCCCTCAACCTATGAGATCAACAACCTGAAAAAAAACCCCACAAGCTAAATCCACATGGCCTTGGTTGACCCTAAAGAAGCTCTTCAGAAGGCATTTCATTATCCAAATTGTTCTGTAATTTGCATTTCTTGCCACACATGGTTGTGCTTGCATCCGCCTTTTCAAATATGTCCAGTGAATGGAACAATAGCAGTCTCAGAAAGCATCCCCAAAGGGCCGGAGTCTGAAATCCAGTCCCAGGACTCCCCTTTAACCCTAACTACAAGAGGAAATCCACTTTTTAAAAGAAATTACATCCCTATGTCTGCCCTTCTCCTCCATTGATTGTGATTGTGGGTTCTAGTAAGACCTTCTTTCATTAGATCAGGAGGCAACCTAACAAGATGCCACAACCTGAGAGCAAAAAAAAGGTGAGAGCAAACTATTTAATCTACTCCTGCCAGTATAGTATTTTCTGGTCTTAAATCAGCCACCCAACAGATGCTCACAAGTCTTCCTTTGAAAACTACTAGGAAAATAAGGAGCTGCTTTATATCAGGTCCAACTACCTTTGAGTTGCTTCCAGATGAGTCTTTTAAAGCACAATCAGTTTGCCTTGTTCATGGGATTTTCCAGGGATTCCTTGGAATGGCATCAAGGAATTCTTTTGTGTGATACTGATATTTGGCTGTGAGTGTGGTTATGACATGTGTTGTGCTGTTTTGTAATAGTATGTTCCAAAAATATATTGCAGGAGTGATCCTCCACAGCTGTGCTGGTTTTGTTTCCAGTATCTGTGCCACGGGACCTGAAAAGCTGGGGCGTGCACAACATGGAGGACAATTCCTTTGATATCTTCTGCTTCAGCTGCATCTATAAGCATTCTGCAGGGAGGAGCCTTTCCTAATTCTCTGCTTTAGAAAGTACTTGCACAACTATATTATACCTGCATGGTGCACTATACATGTTCAATTGTTTCATCACTTCAAATTTCAATACATTCTGGCATTTATTTCAAAGGAAACGTTCCTGCTTTGAGGACAGAGCAAAATGAAGGGAAGTTCCTCGTGGGTGTTTGTTATATGTGTCATTTCAGGACAATTGCATAATTCAAGCATACACATCCCAATAAAAGAATAAAGAATACAGCTCCATTTTGGGGGTTGAAGAACAAACTGACAGGCTATTGCACTTGTGTATGTATAGTATTCTTGTGCTCACACACACACTCTCTCTCATGTGCCTGGAAGAGAGTTGACTTTCCTGTGTACATATGCTTATTCCATACATACTCTGTACAGAATAAAGGAGCAAGACAAAAAGGTCAGAAGAAACATAGGAAGCTGCCTTATGCTGACTTAGTCCATCAGTCCATCTAGCCCGGTATTGCTGACACTGACTGGCAGCAGCTCTCCAGAGTTTCAGGCAGGAATTTTACCAGCCATCCCTGGAGAAGCCAGAGACTGCCCTTTCAGAAGTTTCTACATGCAAAGCAGATGCTCTCCCAGAGAGCCACGGCCCTTCCACTGGCATTCAGTCTTGCTGCACCCACATGCCAGGAGAGGAGATTGCTGGTTATGCAGCAAAAAAAATCCACCCCAAACCTGCTTTCTGTGGGAAGGCCACTGTAATTCGAGATTCTTTTTCAAATGGAAAACTGCAAGTTGTACCTGCAAGAAACACCTTACCTACAGCCCCCTGGGATCCTGTGCAGTGGACCTTCAACCACTTGCTACCAGGTTCTTTTTAAAGTACTGGTGTCTGGTTTGAACCTGGGACCTTTTGCATGCAAAGAGGAGCTGTCTGTTGAATTTTGTATTTAGGAATTTGTCTGTTTGTATTTGGGACATTAGGAAGGTGCTTCAACTTCCCGCCTAAGGAAGGCCTAAACCACCTTCATAACTATCCATTCTGGGGAGAAAAGAGGAGTGCATGTTGAGAACTTTAGAGAACTTCTAGTTGTTGCCTGAAATCACAGAGCTACTGTATGTCCAAAATAATAATTAGACTAGCTTTCTTAACCAGATGCCCCTCCAGATGTTCTGGACTTCAACCCCCGTCAGTTCCAGCCTGCATGGCCAATGGTGAGAAATCCTGAAAACTAAGAGCTATGTAAGTGCTTATATTGCTTTTCAGGGACAAAGCAGCTCT